AACGTTTGATGTCCTTTTATCTAGACAACAAAACAAAAAACATAAAATAACAAATGTCATTGTTGTTGTGATTGCAGCAAACACCACCTGACAACATGTCAGCCATTTCGTTAGTGTTGACTGATTTCTCATACCATATAGCCAGCCGGCTTGTTTGCGGCGCATGCGCTCGCCTCGTAACAAATGCAACCAAAAAGATTTTACTTCACTTCTTATGCCTTTTTGGCATAACACTCGCACTATGGCGACCGCTACGCCTTGCACCACCACCGAAAGGCAATAAATATTTGAATACTTCAATCGTTCCTCTTTGTTTTTTGTTTTGCTTTACTTTGACATGCTGTTGTTAGCCATTTCGGTTAGGCCAGGTATCCAATCAACCACCCAGTGCCAGCCATGTGGTCGTTCGGTCGTTCGGTGGTCCTCCACCATTCGCTTTTGTATGCATTGCCTATAAATCTATCGAAATTCAGCTTGATTCGGTCCGAATGGCAGCGCAGCAAATTGATTGCAGCCGGCGACAATGTTTGATTNTGGGTGTCCAAGTGGGTATAGATAAATAGAAAGGAAAATGGTTTTTTGTACATAAATACAATACATATGCATATATGTATAGTATACAAATACATATATATATACACTTACGTGCATACGATTTTCTTGGTATTTTAGTATTTGACCCTTTCATGTAGTTTTTATCTTTGAAACTACGCATGGTCAATCGATTTTGTAGAATTTTATAGTCGGGTATATGCGTCTATAAAACTAATGCACAGATTACCTATATATCTCTGGTCATAAGTAATAACCGCCTAAGTTGATAAACCTGAACTCGAGAAAAAACGTTTTAAACATTTGGATGTTAATGTTAGCCTTTTGGGGAAACCAAAATATTTTCGTCTATAACTTTTTGAATATCCCAGCTGACGAGTTGGAATAGTAGTTGCAGAATACGATAGCACACTTAGCTCAATTCTTTCTTATGTCGACTTCGGCGGTTATTAACAATTTATCCATAAAAGATAATTTTTGTGTCTTTCGTTTTCAACTTTAATAATCCATTCAAATACCTATATTGAAATATGCTTTTCGAAAAATAGGATAGGGAACTGTCCTCCTCCACCTCCGCGATTTGCCGCCATGGCTATTCAAATTGTTTACCCAATTTAATATCGAATCGGTATCGGATTAGTAGTTCGAGTATGAAATGGAAAAAATGCGTTAGACATTCGGATATTTTCAAAGCGACCTTATTTAGCCAAATACTTGTAAAAGCAGTTGACAAGTATGGCCTGTAGGTTAGATTAGACGGGTTACTTCAGTTGAATAGTTCACTCGAGAGTCCAACAGGCCACGAGGATCCCTCAGACCCGTCCCTGCATATGATTTAATCATACAGATTTTCTATCGTATATGAAGTGCTGAATGAATCCAATACATCTTCTTTATCGCTACAGCTTATACAAAAATTTTTATGCTGGGTCAATGGCCAATATCCCGTTAGTATTCCGCTGAAAGCNG